TATCACTGCTCTTGAAATTGAGAAATTTATAAATAGCCTTTTTTTGAAGACTACGAATTACAGATACAATTCGGCTATTGCACTTGGGCTAAGATCGCCCAGTCCATCTTATCTTTGAAGGGATATGCCTCTGCCTAAGTAGCGTCCAAGCTGAGCTCTAACCCAACTTCGGGTTGGGCTCAGGCAGTCTAGCTCACCCATGTAACGTGCATACTTAAAAGGAGTATATATATATTCCTCATTTATTTCTTAATTTAGTAAAAAATTATCAAATATTAAGATTTAACTATTTTTTATTTTGCTAATGAAATTTTTTAAATTGAACTTGTTTTTATAATTGTATAGTTTAACTGAGGAATAGCCTCTATCACCAACATAACATGACTGCTGTTCAAAGGAGAAAAAAAAAAACCCAACATAACATGACTTCAGGTTACACAAACAGTTGTTTCTCGGGTATTAATTCGACGGGTAATTTTCCTTGCTCTTGCGGACAAGCTTTTTCCCAAAGCGTTTCAATGAGCGGGTTTAATAATGGTTAAATCCCATTTTGATCCTTCTAGTTTGGTAAAAAAAATTTGAAATCCAATCCCTTTTTAGTTCCTCCATTAATTTTTGCACACATAACATGGAAATTTCAAAATAGAAAGATCAAAAAAAGACTTAAAAGGCATTACAAATAGTTTCAATTTGATCTCTCTACTTTGGAAAATAAAACCCTCTTTTGGTCTTCTCTTTTGAAAATTTTGTTAACTAATATCAAAACTTAACAAATGAACTAAAAATAAGCCGGATTTCAAATTTTAAAGACCAAAAAAGAGCATTTTTCAATAAAGCAACTAAAAAAAACTTTTTATCAAAGTAGAGGGACCTAATTGAGGTTTTAACCTATAATAATAAAATAATAATACCATAAGTTATAAAAATAAATATTAGATGTACCAAAAAAATAAATATCAGAGGAATGCGATGTACAGTCTAGATATTATTGGTCCCTTTTTTTTTTCTTTTTTTTTCTTTTTTAAGGAGGAGACGATAAGCCCGAGTGGTAGCAGCACTCGGCAAACATGTCCCAAAATGTTAAAACAGAATTTTCACAAGTTAGCAGCTGTAATTGGAAATTTCACTCGGATAAAAATAAGATAATTTAGAGATTAAATCAAACTCAAGGACGGCCAGAAAAAATGGTCAAAACTCAAG